CACACACACACACACACACACACACACACACACACACACACACACACTATTCAGGGCAGGTTTATGTTTTTCAATAAATGAAATTAGGTAATTTTGGTTAGTAACGTGCATCAGTCTTGAAATACGGTGACACTGTAGTATCTAACTTTAAGTGGTGGTTGATTTATGTGTCTGAGTTCATGTTTAGTAGTCTATGTGTGTGGTACATATGTTTCTTTGTGTGTATGTGAGTGTGTGAATTTGTCTTCCATCTACACAGCCAAAGTCAGCCCAGACAGACATCATTTTCACATTACTGAGTGAGCTTCTTTTTTTTTCTTTGACGTATATTTACAGGCAGAAAAACCAGGGCCTTTCCTACTGTATATTCACTTTCCATCTGTTTATCGTTAACACTGGAAAGAGAGGAGGAAGAGGAGCCAAAATAAAAATGCACACAGACGTATTCAGAGATTCACAGGCTGAGTGGCTCCTGTTTTAAACTATGCTTCCTACACTGGCAAAAAAAAAGAAGAAGGTTCAATTATTTTGGCATCGATGCTTTGGTCACAAAATACCGACACTTTTATTCTTTTGTTTGTTTTCATTTGCTTGTTTGTTCTTGAAATAAGTCCCAGTCATTTTACACCCTGACCACATGTGTGTGTCCCAGTACAGAAAAAAAGGTAGGTTTGTTGTAGTCCTGTCATCGCACCTCTGATGCAGTCCCTTTAAGAGGCACAGATTCTCTTATAAATTATGTGACTGTGAATGAGTGGGCAGGGGGGGGTTGAGAAGGAGGGGTGCCCCCTGTGCCCCCACATCCCCCCCCGCACTCCCTTTACGCCCATCAAGTACGTCCTGTCAACCCTTTTGCGAGCACGTTCTGCAGCACAGTTGCTGCAGCACTTTCCTCTGGCAAAGATTGTTCTTTTTAACGAGCACGCAGAAACTGCCTTCCGCCCAAGATTCTTCATTTGCTTTCCACAGACCAGGAAGAAGAGATGTAAGGGGAGTTTGGAAGGAGGGGAGGAGGGGGAACATGCACATACACATATAAATGCATGTGGAAACACACACAGGGCAGAACCATTAAAAATGATTGAATGGCAGGTAGAGCAGTGTGATTGGTCAGGAGAGGGTTCAGGTGACAGGAAGAGTTTTTTGATCCAATCACAGGTGATGTTCATCAAGGTGGAAAATGATTGTTGTCCAGTGGAGAGATTGGATCCACGTCGGGAGAGAAGAAAAAATAAATAAAATAAAAACAGAGAGAGAGAGAGAGAGAGAGAAAACAAACGTCACACAATTAGCAATTTGAAGATTTTCGAAATTCACAACTTGGTGTATTGAAAAAAAAAAGTAAAGTGGACCACCAGTCTGCAAAAACTGTAAGCCAATTATTTCATTTATCAACAGCATTTAAACGTACCAGCCACTTTTGAGCTTTGGTTTAGGAAGGTTTGAAACAGACTGAGTGTGCACTTTAAGTAAAGTACTCATCATCAACAGAAAGGTCTCACAGTAAACACATTATCCTCAGAGCTTCATCTCATCAAAGGCTGGAAGACTTTTTGGCCATGGGTTCATTTTAACTAGAAGATCATGGCTAGACCAGCAACTCACACACTGCTGTCGAAGCCTCATAATCAGACCATCACCTCAGCCAGTTAGTGAGAAATGGGAATATTTACACTACAAGAATCGTAAGCCAAAGGAAAAGAAAATACCATAAAGGAAAGACTAGACCATAAAGTACAGCAATGAAATAAAGAAAATGCAAGCAAAGAGCAAGTCAAAATCAGAAAATGATTGTAGATGAGCAGATTATATGGAACACGGAGGGTTAGGGTGTATGTACAGATGGTTCAAGAAACCTTTCAGACAAAGCAGTGTCACAAAGTACGGACAACCAAGAACAGAGTGAGTTTACATTACAAAAACAAAAGTGAGTGAGCGAGCTTGTAGTGCCAGAGAGATATTATATTAGTAATATGTAAAACATGAATGAGACCTTTAGATAAAGCACAAAAGGCAAAAGCAAGGACAGACTGCCCTCCTGCTTTCAGGCAGTCTGATTCAAGAAGTTAGTACCAAGCAAACAAATTATAAATAAGGTCATTGGTAAATCCTTAGCTTTTACTTAATAGAGTTTCATATCCTGTGGGACATACTAATTGAATTAATCTTGGAACGCAAAAGAGTCTGAGGGAGAGTTGAGATGTACATGTGCACCTCTGAGGCCTTTGGCTCTTTGATTGGCTGGGATTGTTTAGACCACAATATATGTACTTATGCAATTATTCTGTAAAACACTGTTGTGAAGCCAATTGCACTGTAAAGTATTTTTTCTGCTGTGAATCTGTCCAAATCAATGCTCTTGCTGGTTTAAGCCTTTTCAGAGTTTTCACTCTGGACCATACTAGTATGCTTTATGACTAAACGCTGCCTGCGAGAGGCAACGCAAGAAGTATGAAATAAACACATTGAGGCCATCTTGCAGATAAAAAAAAGCTGTCAAACTCACCATCTTTGCAGATGGTGCTGACCACACAGGCTCCTGCCTCCAGATTGTAACCACTGACACAGCTGCTGCAGTTCCGCTCACCGGGCCCCGAGCACTCGTAGCAGCTATGGTCACACCTGTCGATGGGTGTATAAAGATTTAGATACCAGTCTATGCGGCACAGTACATGCTCACATACATCCATCTTTCACTAGTTTTCGCCCGTATAGTGATTTATTTCCAATTTGCTGCTCTCTAATATACACTCAAACCCCTGAACTACAATGAAACTGAGTGACGCAGAATCCAATAACAAAGCCGAAAATCTAATCAAAACACCTTGTTGCAGTATTAGACGTCTTATTTTAGACGTGCGAGCTAGCATTACATACAGTTTTATCCGATTTTGTGTAAATATCAACTGCAAAGCCATTTGTGTCAGTCGACATTAAAACATGTATGATTGTTCCTGCATATATTATGTCATGGTGTGCATCATAAACTGTAGAAATGTGTGAACACAACGAGAGACAAAAGAGCAGACCTACCAAAAAAAATAAAATCCACAGGACAGGGAACATTTTTATGCATGTATTTGCATTTATGTAATCAACTTTAACACAAAACTTAATACTATCTGCTTAAACAAATGTATGGATTTCATTTATACGCTGTAGTTCATTGCTTTGGCCCTTTCAGTGTGTGTTGGTGAGCAGTGTTTGCAAAGAATCGGAAGGTCTAAACAAGTGAACAGAGACTTGATAGAAAAATATCGTAAACACAGTTATCACATTTAGTGGTGTGAATATGGGGCAACATTTATTAGGAAATCATCTGACTAGGAGATGACAGAGAATTAGGAAATCAAGTAAGGTACAAAGTCAAGGTGGGAGAAAGACAAATCAAGAAGGCAAGTTAACATCAAGGAATGATAAAAAAGCAGACAAGATATCCGAGTTTGACTGTGGGTCTGATAGAAGGCAAGGAAGTCAGCAAACAGTCAGCAAATATATCATCAATATCATCAAATCATATAAGTTGCAACAGTGAAACTGTGTTCACACTACGAGCAACAAAAGCAACAAAACGGCCAAGCGCGGCCAGCTACATTGTTGGCGAGTAGCTGTTGAAGCGTTACCTTCACCTCTTGTTGAGGTAGTTACGCTGCTAAATAGCACTGGGAACTGGCTAACAGCATTTTTTGGGGACAGAATAGGACAGGGTGAGACAAAAACATATGCTTGGTTGATTTTGGTTGATTTACTTTTTTAAATAATGTCTGATGAAATGAATTTGAACACTTTCTGTCCAAGTGCTTGTGGATGCATTCTGTTCTGTTCTGAAAAATATCGTAAATTCTAAGGGAAAACATTTATATGGCTTTCTGATTTCTGACTGCGTGCCTTCACGTCGGCTAAAAATTGAGTGGAGCTGCTGGACATAGTTGCAATGGCTAATTAATGGTGGAGGAAATAACCAAAGATAGAATATTTCTTCACTTTAAATTAGTCAGCAGCAGATTATATGGATCCTACTGTAACATTATTTCCACACAGGATTCAGATTTAAACATAGAACGTAAACTAAATCAGTCAGTTATTTATTAAAACATGTTAATACATGTTTCAAAAATATGTCCCTGTGCATGGCACTGCAGAGAGAACAAGTAGTGCAAGAAAAAGTTAGGAACTTTGCACTTCGCTGGCTAAAGCGCTTCATTTTCTTGTTTTTAAAATCTTTGTAGACTGGACAGCCACAAGTTCACGGTGGTGAAGAGGTGTTGGCAGGTGTGCTGACTCACTTCTTACAGGACCTCTGCACCTGCCCGTTGTCTGAGGTCTGCTCTGACAGGTAGTAGCCAGTGCTGCACGTTAGCACACACCGCCAGTCCTCAAGTAAGTAGCCATCTGCACACTTTGAGCAAGCCTCTATACCTGTGCCTGAAAAACACAGACACACATTTCAGGTGTATTGTTAGGATATTACAGAGACACGCTGACACACATAATAAAGGTCATTCTAATCAATCGTATGACTTCCTACCTGCGCAGGTGGCACAGGCCCGATGACAGGGCTCACAATTCCGTCTGTGGCCATTGTAATAAGTCCCCGGGTCACAGGTCATCTGACACTTGTTTCCTTGAAGACTAGGAAGAGAAAAAGAAAAAAAACACAAACACTCATACCTTTATAGTGAATACCAGGAAAATAATAAACATAAAATCCATTCAGGTGGTAGCACAAGTGAGTTTCAGAAAAGTAAAATGTGTGAAAGCAACTCTCATATCCAAACTGTTTGCTGAAAATGAGTTAAAGTTTGCCTGTTAAAAGCCATCTGTTATAGAGCAACTTTCTTTAAAAGTTTCTTACTGGGCAAATATTTAGGAAGAATTAGAAGTAAAAAAAACTCCAGCACCGGTGATATCATTATGGGTGTACACATTAGCTGCTGGCCCAGTCCACTATTTCACAGATGAACAGGAATATTTAATTTTCTAGATTCAACTGTAATCAAAGGGAATTTGTTGTTTTGAATAAATATCATACAAGAGATTTTTCCAGATGCCAGATACAGGGATAGAAGTCAATTAGGAAGTAGGTTCACAGGTTATAAAGTCAGTTATAAACTGAGGACAGGTTGGTGAGCTTGCCGCAGTAAACTGAAAAACAGCTGGTCTGTGTTAACGTTTCCCAGAAACGATCTCGTCTGGTCCTCTCTTTCTCCTCGTCTCCTAACCGACCATGAATGGTGTACTGAATGGGAGACTGTTGGGAGTGTGTGTGCGTGTGCGTGTGTGAGCATGTGTCTTACTGTAGTCTCGCTGGCATTCAGAGGAAATTATGGCTTACTAGTGTCCCCACCTCCACCTCTGGCTACACTGAACACTTAAAGCTGGGTTCAAGACCGCAACATTTTTTAAGTGCTTCACAAGTGTTTCCTTCATGACCTATCAGGAATTTGAGCACTTTGAAATGCCCAATCCTTTGTCAGGTCAAGCGTAGTTGGGGTTGTTTGAAGCTGTGGAAGTGGCCAGAAAATGAACTGCAACATGTCTGCATAAATAACTAAATTGCTTAGATCAGAGTGAAGACCACAACCCAAAATAGACAACAGCTCCACTTCTTGTGGGTCTCCGCATTACATGAGTGTATGTGGGCTTTAATAAACTTGGGTCACAGGATGAAACTCTGGTTACTCAGTTTGTGTCCTAAGAGGAGAACAGTTGGGAAGCCCTGATTTCATTGGTTCATGCTGCAAATTCAAACCACAGCGAAACACAATGTGCTGGACTAAATTAGCTACACTGTCGGGTATTCCTGCAGCGTCGGAGTGGATGAACACAAAAGGCTTTTATCCTGAAACCACAATACTGACATTGAAGCCAAATGAATGCAAAAAGACAAAACCTGAGCTATTTATACTAGTACAACAGAGGACTGACTGTAATGGTAGATCTTCATATGAACAAGCTGTGATTAATACCAGCAGGTTTCATAGCAGATTATATTGATTGTTAAAGGCTTTTCCAAGCACAGAGCCCCATAGTCACATAGACACCATGTTGCTAATATCTTTTTATGTAATTTACTAAAAATGTGTTTAGATGAGCTGCAACTGAAACCACACTGTTCATACTTATGGGGAACATTGAGGGCAGCTGTAGCTCAGGGAGTTCGATCCCCGGCTCCACATGCCGTCCTTCCTGGGGCAAGACACTGAATCCCAAGTTGCTCCCCATTGTTAGGCCAGCAACTTGCACATTAACTCGCTGTCATCATGAGAAACAAATTGCGAGTGTTTTGGATAAAAGCATTTTGTAATTGCTTGAAGGTGGGCCAAAAAGTCTGCCGTCATTGGGAGTGGTGAAATGTGAAACAAATCCTTCAATCTGGTTCTGCGGCAGTTAAGAGGAAAAGCAATCATTTTGTTGTGGTTGCAGCATTTCTAACTATACCATTACAATCGAAACACTGCAGGTTATAAGGTGTATATTCACATGTTTTGCAGCAACAGACAAAGCAAGACGGAAATCACTTCCTGTGAAATGATCAATGATCAATCTGCATGACTCCCAGTTTACCTCATCCCAGGTTTACATTCTGTGCAGATGTTGGAGGTGGTGCACTTCTTACAGTTCTCTGGACATCTCCGGCAAATGTTGGAATCTGAAAGACACCAGGTGAGCCGGTCACACCATGGCTAATAGGAACCAGAAGTCTGGCTACATTTAAAATGAAGAAAGGGAGCAGAGGAAGAAGACAATAATGAAGAGGAAGATAATGGGTGAAGTGAATGATGAAGACAAGTGAGAACGGGAGAGAGAATAAGTAGAAGAAGGTGAAGATGAACAAAACAGGAGGACAGACGGCAGGGGGAAGAGCAGAGATGTCAAAAGGCTAAAGCTGCTGGGATGAAAAAGAGGATTGTGTGTTGGTGAGGGAGGATAGGAATGTAGATGAATATTTCAAAAGGAAGACTAAAGGCAATGACACACTTTATCACAATGCACATGAACAACTCTGCTGTCAACAGCGACGAGGATTGCGAAAAACATTCATGAATAATATGTTTTACCATTATGGGAAACCACAGAGTAGACTATGACTATTAATGAAAACTGATATTTCTACATTTCCAATAAACCTTGCTCATGTACACAGCCATTACGGTTCTGTTTGGGAAGTCATGTGGTCAGAAGTGAGGGGGAGGAAACAGAGTAAGTGAGGATTGTTGGTGAGATTTTCAGGAATCTGAAAATCATTACAGGGTGGAGGAGGTATATGGACAGGTCACACACACATTTCCATTAAAATAACTTTTACACGTTTACATTGCCTTTCAAGAGAACTGGGGTCAATCAAAAGAAAATGAATTAGTGACGTTAATGATCAATTATTTGTTATTTAAGAAATGCAAAGAATTTGGTAGTTCTAGCTTCTCAACTGTGAATATGTTCTGCTTTTTGATTTTAGACAGTGTCAGTTACACAAAACTGCAAATTTGAAGACACCACTTTTGGCTCTAACAAATTGTAATTGGCATTTTAATATTGTTTTAACATCGTATACACTGAAACAGATGCAAAAGAGAAAACAATTTTGAAGTCTGATTGCAAATCCCCAAGGTGGGACTAAGGAACAATGAAAAAGTTCTGAAACACGTCCTTGACTGCAGGTTGTGCCATCATGTGTGCACTCATTACTTTAGAGTTTGTACATTGCAGAGTCCGTTTGGCCACCGGTGAAACGTACCATGGTCGAGGTAGAAGCCGTCGCCACAGTTGGCGCCACACGTGTTGGAGCCCTCATTGAGGTGGAAACCAGTCCTGCATGTGGTGCACTGGTCGCTACGGCTACCAACGCAGGTCTCACACAACGAGGAGCACTTCTTGCAGCGCTTCCTATCATCACGGAAAAAGCCACTGGGGCACTCCGACACACACATCCTGGAGAGAGGTGATTTAAGGGAGAGAAGGGAGGACGGCAGGGTGAAAGAGCGTCACAAAAAGGCAAAAGTGGAACAGAAAGAAGGGACAGTTTGTATTTCTTGCAGACATATTCTGGTTGTATGTAGTTTATGCTGACTTTACAATGAGATAAAGAGTCCAAATTGACGTCATTGTTCCTTGATTAACACACAGCATCATTATAATGTTAACGGGCTCGAAATGTAAAGCATATGTCTGACAGAAAACATGCCTCTTATGTAAGGATATTATGGGAAACATATATCATGTGCACTTATAAATATAAGTTGAGAAAAATATAGTTTTAAAGGAGTAAAGCAGAATATTTTTTTTGTAAACTTCTTTTTCATGTATAAATGGAGTTTGGACAAACTGAAGTAGAGGGACCAAGTGTGTGCGTGCGGGTGCTATATGGTGAACAGGTGTAACATCTGTTGAATAACTTCACAGCCCTCTGTCACCCCCTCATTTCACCCTGAGGCTCCCTTCCTAAAAGGTGAAAAACATCTCCAAAATCCTCAAGAGCACAAAACACACACACACACACACACACACACACACGTACGCACTCCTTAAGCCTTCGTCACACACTACAGAGTTGTCTGCCAGGAAACACACATTGCATGTGTGAAACACATAATCCACAAGTGCACGTATACACTGCCATGTGTTTGTCCTCCAGCTTCAATGAAATGGTTTTTTAACCGATAAAGATTGTACAAACACTATAATGAACCGTCTACACCAAGGATACCACTAAATGTGAGAAACACTTTCCTGACCACAATGTCAGATCTGAGTGAGTTCTTGAAATTGTATAGACAGGAAAACGTGGTAAAAGAAATTTAAAAGAACATTTCAAGGTTATTTTTGTCCATCATTCCCATCAGCTATGATTATGTTTCAGTCACCAAAGGCATCACGAAGACTTGAGGACGTAGCAACATTTGCTTAAACAGGGCAAGAAACACATGGGTTGAAAAATCACTATTGGTGGAGGTGAAACCAAACGTGAGCACATCCCAAAATGTTGGTTACCTTTCATGCCGATAAAGGAAATTGATATATTTTGAAATTCAGCTAATTGACAAATGCATGAGACTGATTCATACGCAGTTACAGTGCTTTTGATCAGAACAGATCAGGACTGTGGCTACCGCTGAGGACAAAGAGGGTCATGTCCTCAGTATGTGTTTCTTGCATCGTGTCATTTACATTTCATAATTTAAAGTTATACATGGTGAGTTTTTAGAATGTTTTAAATTTTACGAAAAATGATCAATTACATTATTGAATAAATACAAAACTAAATTTCCCAACTCAATGTAGTCCCGGTGAAGTAACGCTCTTGAAAACACCCTTCATCATGTAGAGAAACTCTTTGACAGACTAGTAGACTTACAATTGGAATATTTCCAAAATTCTGCCGACGAGCCTGTGTACAATACAATGCACACATACGCATAGAAGTGCAAAACCCCTACAAAGTTTCAAAGACCCACACACCTTTTGGTTGGTCTAGACTCGAGACCATCAAACACATATATAGGGATGTAATTATCTGAACATTAAACAACACCACCATTCCTCCTCCTTCCTCCTACCACTCCCCCAATCTTCATTCATCAATTGCTCCCTGTGGTGGCACAAAAAGGGCAGCACACCTCTAAAGTGGGCTAATGATAAGGCAGCGCCTAAGCTGGCACATTCTCATGCACCTGCATCGGGTTGCCTTTTATTAGTGCAGAGACCCGCCGACACAAAGGCAATTAGAACAGACTTTGATCCTAATGGGATCCTAAGGGCACACACAAATGTTCACACACACACACACACACACGTTCACACACACACACACACACACGTTCACCCACGTTCACACACACGTTCACCCACATTCACACACACGTTCACCCACATTCACACACACGTTCACCCAC